CCCCAGCGGCACCCCAAGCGGCCCCTCCTCCCTGGTCCTCCTGGCCCTCAACTCCCTCTGAACCCCGTCCTCTACCTCACGTTGATCGTGGATTCTGTCGCCCCGCTGATCAAGATCCGTCAGCAGAAGGGTATTGCCGGTGGTGGTGCCGCCGTGCAGATCCCGGTTCCTCTGATGCAGCGACAGCGACGGCGGACGGCCATCAGATGGATCATTGATGCCTCTGATAAGCGGCGGGACAGCAGTTTCGCTCAGCGAGTAGCTCACGAGCTGGTTGCTGTTGCGGAAGGTCGTAGTGGTGCGTGGGATCGGAGGGAAGCGGTGCACAAGCTTGGTATCGCGGGTCGTTCGAATCTTGGTCTGGTCACTCAGCGCAGGTAAATGGAGTTGTTGGGGGGGTTTCATCCATTCCATAGTGGACATCTATTTGTTATTTTTATTCATTGTATTTAGGCTAGTAGGCGCCATCATGCAATTGTAAATTATATGGCCTTCCTCATGTCTGGCCTGTGGATGACTAATACCCTCGCTATCCCCGATGAGGCAACTATGTGTTTGCTGCAAGGCACCGCTGACAGCCAAGTGCAGTCATTAAACTATGTCCTATCGACTAGGATCGGGCTCAGTCAAGGAATCAGCATATATCTTCATCTGACCATTCTAAAGTCATGAGCGCCCACCATATAACGCCAGAGCCCTAAAGCCTCAACCCGATTTGAATTTCATCCAACGAGGCAACCACTAAGATCACGCGCACAGCTGCTTTGCGGGGCCTCGACCCAGCCCAAGCGGACCAGCCAGCAGTCCAGCACCAGCTCACTCTCACTAACGAACGAACGAACGAACGTTAATATCAACAGTCCCAGTTCCGGCCTCGGTCTCTTTCCTTTTCTGATCTTCTTTCAAGCCGAAACCGTGTCGTCGAATGCTGTTGGGCGGACCGTGGCACGCATCGCTTCTGCGACTTGTGCCTACGAACAAGACGACCAAAGCTTCGAGCTCGAAGACTTCCACGCCCGCAGTCGCTACCCGCTTGTAACACCGGCAGAACGCACCAGCTCCAACCGCCTGCTCTCCACCTCGGACTCGCAGGCACACTCACAGGCACAAGCGAGTGGAGCAAAGAGCGGTCAAGGCCACAGACCGAGCAAACTCAGGCTACGGTTCTGGGTAGAGGCTCTCCGGCTTCGACAGGCTTCAGCGAAGGAAAGTGCGGGGGGACACAGCCAAGCGAAGATGAAGTTCTCGCATAGTATTCAGTTCAATGCGGTGCCGGATTGGAGTGCTTATTACATTGCGTATAGTAATTTGAAGAAATTGTGGGTTTTTTTCTCGGATCGTGGTTACACTGTGGATGGGCGTGGCCGTGCTCCATGTTACATGTACAGTGTGGTATGTGCTCATGCTAACGATTTATTAGGATCTATTCCCTCGAGCAGCAAGCTCGTAAAGCGAACGGCCAGGCACATTCGGATGTCGAATCCGCGCCGCTGTTGAGCGAGACGCCCACGCCCGATGCGGTGTTCCGACGGGCTCTGAACGCAGAGCTGGAGAAGATATGTACCTTCTACGAAGTCAAGGAGTCGGAGATACTCAGGGAGGTGGAGGACGTGGTCCGCGATGCCGAGGAGTACTCGTCCAAGGCGGACGGGGCGGACGTGGACCCCATGAGCGACGCCATGATCAAAGCGCGGAGGATGAGCACTGGCTCGCGCCCGCGCACGGGCGGCTCGTACCGCGATTTCCCGGCGGAGGAGACCAGACGGCGGAGCGCAGTTAGCGAGGATGACGACGATGATGATGATGACGACGAGGATGCGGCGGATAGCGATGACGAGCAGCAGCCGCCGTCCGGGCAGAGACCGGTGCTGTCGACGACACGCTCGGATCTGAGCGATTCGAGACTCATGGCCGACTCGAGGCTTCTGGGGTATGGCGCGCGAACAAACAGTCGGCATGATGAGTATTGCAGGGATCCGAGGTTTTTGGATCTGTACAACGAGGGCTTGTCGCTGAAGCAGCGGGCCGTGAATGCCTATGTCTCGCTGTGCGGGCTCAAGTCGTACATCCAGCTGAACAAGACTGGCTTCTCCAAGGCTTTGAAGAAGTTCGACAAGATCCTCAACCTCAATTTGCGGCGGGAGTACATGAGCTCGACCGTGTCTCCAGCTTATCCTTTTACGGATTCGACCACGAAGAAGATCGACGACGAGATCGCCAGGATCGAGCAGCTCTACGCGGACGTGATTACGGGCGGCGACCTGCCGCTGGCCAAACGGGAGCTCCGATTGCACTTGAGGGAGCACGTTGTCTGGGAGCGGAATACCGTCTGGCGAGAGATGATTGGCATTGAGCGCAAGGCCCAGGCCGCGAATGTCGGCATCCGTCGGACACTGCTGGGAGTGGATGAGGACCCCGCCGCCGCGCGACGACAGGGCGATGAGCAGGAGGTTGCAGCCAAAGAGTTCGAGACGCCGTTTGGTCGCTATCGCGTGCCCGAGTGGCTCTGCAGCTTGAGTTTCGGGACTCTGATCGTCATTCTGGCTGTGTTTGTCATCCTGCTTTATGCCCCGATCATGGATAAGCCGGAGCAGCAGAATTGCCTGGCGATGCTTGTGCTTGTCAGTCTGTTGTGGGCCACGGAGGTCATTCCCCTCTTTGTGACGTCCCTTCTGATACCCTTCCTGGTGGTCATGCTGCGCATTATGAAGTCTGCGGAGAAGCCTTACCAGCGTCTGGGACCGAAGGAAGCCACGGGCGCGGCTTTCAGCGCGATGTGGACGCCGGTGATCATGCTCCTGCTGGGAGGATTCACCATCGCCGCGGCGTTGTCCAAGTACGACATTGCTCGTCGGATGGCCATGTTTGTGCTGAGCAAGGCCGGATCCAATCCCAAAGTTGTTCTGCTGACGAACATGTTTGTGAGCATGTTTCTTAGTATGTGGATTAGCAATGTGGCCTCGCCGGTTCTCTGCTACTCCATTATCCAGGTATGCTTCTTTCCCCCCTTTTTTTTTGAAAACATGCTAACTGCTCAGCCTCTGCTGCGCAACCTTCCGCCTAATTCCGACTTTGCCAAGGCCCTTGTGCTGGGCATTGCACTGGCTGCGAATGTTGGAGGCGCGGCGTCGCCGATTGCGTCGCCCCAGAACATCATTGCGCTGCAGAACATGTACCCGAGTATCAGCTGGGGGACCTGGTTCTTCATCTCGCTGCCCGTCTGCATCATCTCGATCCTTTTGATTTGGATCCTCTTGCTGGCGACGTTCCACCCCAGCCGGGGCACGACCATTGTCCCGATCCGACCGGTCAAGGACAAATTTTCGGGCGTGCAGTACTTTGTCACGATTGTGACGCTGTCCACCATTGTGCTGTGGTGTGTCAGCCATCAGCTCGAGCACGTCTTTGGCGACATGGGCGTGATCGCCATCATCCCGATGGTCCTGTTCTTTGGCACGGGAATCCTGAACAAGGAGGACTTCAACAACTTCCTGTGGACGATCATCATCCTCGCTGCGGGGGGTCTGTGTCTCGGCAAAGCCGTGACCTCGTCCGGGCTGCTGCACACGATTGCCAAGGCGATCACCGCGCGCGTCGACCACTTCAGTCTGTACGGGGTTCTGATAGTGTTTTCGGCCCTGATCCTGGTCGTTGCGACGTTTATCTCGCATACGGTTGCGGCGCTGATCATGCTGCCACTGGTGCGCCAGATTGGCGTGGGCATGGACGACCCGCATCCGAACTTGCTGGTGATGACGAGTGCGCTGATGTGTTCGGTGGCCATGGCGTTGCCGACGAGCGGGTTTCCCAATATGAGTATGTTCCTGCTATTTCCTGCAATAGGCATGGCAATTGGCAATATAGAATGCTAATATGTTACAGCTGCGATTATGACCGAGGTGCCTCAGACGGGTCAACGATACCTACACGTGCGGCATTTCTTCACTCGCGGTATCCCGGCCAGTTTGATGTCGTTTACGGTGATTGTGACGATTGGGTATGGATTGATGTATATTGCGGGGTTGTAGGTTGCACCTAGATTGGTAGATGTGTGTATACAGTGGGATAGAGGAATAGCTACACATTGTTGTCTTGGATAGTATGGTCATGTAGTGTCATTAATCATAGGTAGGTATAGCAAGCTAAGCTACTGTACACGCAGAAGGATATAGATATAGGAAAAGCTCAAGATCAACTCAAGACGATCATAACTGTCTAGCCCGCGACAACACAAGAAGAAATTAATTCCTAGACACGTTAGCACACCCACCTCATCAGGCCAGGGGCAAGGGGAAGGGAAGAGGAACATACAACAATCCCAACGTCAAATCCCCATGGATCTTCGCCTTGAGCTGCACCTCGATATCCAGATTCAGATCCAGCCGCAGCCGCAACTGCTCGTCCCGGCCCCCATCGCCTTCCTCCTTGTTCCCGCCCAGCAGCCCGCCCACGGCCTTGCCCGCCGACCCCGTCACCCCGTTCACCGCGTTCCCCGCCGTGTTCTGCACGAGGTCGCCGACCTGGTTCACGCCGCCGAGGCCGCCGAGCGGGCCGCCGTCTTGCTGGGGTTGTTGCTGGGTCTGGGGGCGCTGGCGGCGGCGGCGGGGTTTCTCCATGGCGTTGTTTTCCATTTCGGGGCGCGGGATGCTCTCGGTGTCTGAGTCGGGGCGGTAGCGCTGGGGCTGGGGTTTCTTTC